CCCGAGCTCCCTCGCCGACGGACCGGAAAGTACAAACTGTCCCCCCGCGACGCCTTAGACCCCCTCGACCGGGGCCCGTGAACCCGATGACACGAACGCGAGGGGCCTACAAATACGAGAGGCGCCCTGGGCATTGACAATGTGTTTTGGATTTTTTGATGGGGAGATGCTGCCCAACGGAAGCCTCGCACCGCCACTGTCCTCAACAGCAGTGCCCCGCACAGCTGGAGCGCCATAGCTGGCATAGCCATTCTTCAACGCGCTCGTTTCCTGGCACCGACGCACCCCGCATGCCCTCGCATGTCCCTCCGCCTACCAAGTCGCTGTCCACGTCATATTCGACGTTGCTTCCGCTCTCCTTACTCGAAAGGCGCGCCCACCACCCCACGCAGTACCCTCGCAAACGCAAAGCACATGCCCAAAGGTCGACAGAGTGCCGTCGCGTTTAACGCCGGGGTTCGCGTTCATCTCCACTCGACAGTTTCACACGGTGAGTGCGCACTCAGTCGGGACGTATGTGTGCATGTGTGCGCATGCGGGCGGGTTTTGTGATGATATGCTCGCGCAGATCGAAAGAGGTCGTGTCTGCATGTGTGACGGTGGGCGTGTGTGTGTGTGTGTTTGTGTGCGAGTGTGTGCTTGCGCGTGCTTTATTGTTTTCGTGTGTGTTCGAGTGCATGTTCCATTGTGTTTGTGTTCGTATCAAGTGTGTGCCACACGCACGAGGCAGGATCGTGCGCGTGTCTGTGTCTGAGGGGCGTATGTGTGTGGGCGCCGTGCGGCGGCGTGTGTGTGTGTGTGTGTGTGTGTGTGTGCCTGTCTGTCCATATTTGTTCGCGTGTGTGTGTGTGTGTGTGTGTGTGTGTGTGCCTGTCTGTGCATATTTGTTCGCGTGTGTGTGTGTGTTCTTGCATATTGAGTGTGGGGAGATGCGCGCTAACGTGCGCGGTCAGGGATGAATGACATGATTTCCACTTCAATTCCCCGAATGGCGCTTGTGTGTGGATGTTCGAGGAAAGTATCAAAAACTATTGCGCTCGTGCTATGTTCAACCTCATCTTGAGCAGTTGCCACACTCGACTGATCCTGATTGATCCCAATGTCATGTCCGCCGATCTGCCCAATGGATGATCAATCGAAACACGCAGTGGCAGTGTCGATACAGCGAACGCATCCATCGACCAATCGCGAAACACGATGAGATCACTCGTGATCGGATGATTGATCGTGTCCGCCATGTCGACGTTATCACAGCGTGTGTGTTGTTCGTTCTGTCGTTTGTATTCAGACCACTCGTGATCGGATGATCGATCAGATCCATGACAATATGCACACCACACACGTGATGAACCAACCCATCACCAAACACAAGCCGACCACTCGCGATCGGGTGATAGATGCTGTTTGCTGCCCCAACAACATCGCCCCTGATCTGCCAAACAGATGATTAATCAATGCACGAGGCGACAACGTCTGGATCACAAACGCATCCAACCGACCAGGCAATACATTACTTGCGATCGGACGATTGCCCGTGTGTGCTGCACCGAAGACGTCGCTGATTGTGTGTTTCGATCGTCTCAATGGCAAAACCAAAACACACGCGGCGATGTGCATGCGTGCGTGTGTGTTTGCGTGTGCGTGTGTGTGTTGTATGAGCACCATAACCTGTTTTGTGTTTCGCAAGGCGATGTGCGTGCTCGTGTTTCTGTGCGTCTGCGTGTGCGAGATGCAATCCGTCGGCGAGCGACCTGTTTATCTAACCACCTGATACTCATGGACTGAACAGTCGATTGGTCAGGGAATCTGCCTGGATCAACTGATTGGCTATTGATCAACCAAAACACCAACCGCCAACCGAGCAGCCGATCAATCAGCTGATACTGGCAGATTTCATGACCAATCGACTTTTTTGTGCACATTGATCGCGGAGAATCCTCAAGGCAAATGATCATGTGCACGATCGAAACCCGCGAACAAATCACACAACCTTGTCACAATCTTGTCGCACATCGAAAGTCGATCCCGATCTGCGAACGGAAAAAAAACACTTCGTCACAATCTTGTTGCACATCGAACGTCGTATAACATCGAACCCGACTCCACATCAAACCTCGGCGGGCGTCGAACCTCGTCGGACGTCGAACTTTGGAGGACGTCGGGTCATCGACATTTGACGGTCACTGAACGACGAACGTGGAGCAGCCACCACCCCACTCATCGCCGGCACAGTCCTCGTCATCGGAACGTGACCGTCCTAATCCGCCAGCACAAACTTGGCAGTGCCACCCGAACTGATCGCGCAATCAAACACCGAAAAAAGTCCGGGTTCCGGCAAGCTTGAGGAGCTGTTCGAACACACTTCGCAACCCCGGACCGCAACCACAGCCGCGGACGTGTGAAAAATTGAAGTCCGTCGGGATCCGAACTTCAAGAAATTGTTGGACGGCGAGTTTGGCAAATAGGTGTGTCACTCCCACGCAATTTCGCGAACTTCGGACCCCGGGGAACTTCAGGTTCCCGCCTTTCGCAAGACATGTTTGCGGCTTGCCCGCTGGCCTGTGGATCCGAACCTCGCTTGCACGGTTCCTTGCACAATCGTCAACTCCGGACCTCAGTGAACTTCGGATTCGTGAAAATGTGAAGTCGGTCGGGATCCGGACTTGTCCTTCACGGTTCCTCGCACAGACGTCAAGTTCAGACCCTGGCGAACTTCGCTTTTCACATTGTGTGGGTTCCGATTGCGGACTTTCTAGCGCCCGAGGGATTGGCACAACTACGGATTCGAAAAATGTGAAGTCCGTCGGGATCCGAACTTCTCGCGCACGGCTCCTCGTTCAATCGTCGAGTTCGTCGGTTGTTTCTCTCCCGCACGGTTTTGCCAAGTTCGGATCTCGGCGAACAACAGGTTCCCGCCTTTCACCAGACATTTTTGCGGCTCGCTTGCCCTCCCGTGGATCCGAACCTCGCGTGCCCAGTTCCTCGAACGTTTGCCAAGTTCGGAACCCAACGGACTTTGGATTCGTGAAAATGCAAAGTCCATCGGGATCCGAATTTCTCGTGAATGGTTCCTCGTGCACTCGTTAAGTTCGGACCCTAGCGATCTTCGCTTTCCGCATGGTGTGGGTTCTGTCTGCGGGCTTTCTCGCGCCCGGCGGTTTGCCACAACGTTTGTTTCGCAGAAATGCAAAGTCCGCGGGGATCCGACCTTCTCTCGCACGGTTCCTCGTCCCATCGTCGAGTTCACCAGCTGTGTCTCTCCCGCGTGATTTCGCCAAGTTCGGATCCCGACGAACTTGAGATTTCCTCCTTTCGCAACTCGAGTTTGCGGCCCGCCTGCTGGGCCATGCATCTAAAACTATCGTGCACGGTCCTCGGACAGTCGTCAATTCCGAATCCCGGTGAACTTAAGATTCGAAAGAATGCGAAGTCCGCTGGGATCCGAACTTCTCGTGCAAGGTTCTTCGTGCGGTCGTCAAGTTCGGACCCAGGCGTACTTCAATTTTCGGGTGGT